TTTTTTTTTTTTTTTTTTTTTTTTTCCAATACGTTTCTTAACCAATCGTACGATCGATCGTTGCCAACATTTTAAAAAAAAATAATCATGAGGACGTTTTTATTTTTTCCCAATAATCACGAACTCATTCATAATTTTATATATTATTCATTTAGGCAAGGCAAGTATATATCTCCAAAATAGATAAGAATAAAACTTATATATGTAATATCATAAATAATGTTGATGTTGTTTTCTGATTAAAAAATTATTAAATGATTTAGAACTATTAAATGTTTATGATCACATTTAATTACTAAATATTATATATTCTTTCTGCTCTCTATTAACAAGTAAAAAAAATTATATATTAAAGAAATTAGTTATTTGTATTAAATTTTATTAATCTTATAATATTTTTCTTAAATTTTTCTTGTTATAAATGTCAAAATAAGTAGTGAAATTTCATACATTTAAGGATATTTTAATGAAAATATCATTAAATAAGATAAAAATAGTTAAAATTTGTTTATATTTAAAAATAAAAATATTTTTTTTATTATAATAGAGAGAATATTTAAGTTTTACAATCTACGAGAAAAATTTAATATCACACTTGATATTATATGTTATGTGAAAATTAGTTAAGGACCATGTGATTTATGAATAAATAAAAGTTTCTCCCAAAGATTATAATTAAAATTTTAATTTAATATAATATATGTAATAAAAATTCATTAAATATTTATAATCAAACAATAACATTACAATATTCATAATATTTTCTTTATCTCACAATATTACAATTTTAACATTTGAAAAACTTACCAAAAGAATTAATGTTCTCACTTTTGAATGTAATATTAATTAAATTTTTTATAATTTATCTCCTCATAAATTATTTAACAATTACAATTTAAAGTAATGCATTTATTTAGAGACCGAGTTATTTTAGTAAAATTATATAATAAAGGTACACGTTTATATTATTTCTCTTTAATTTGGGTGGAGAAATTTTATAAATCGTAATCATTGTGGCATGAAGATCATATTTATAATATTATACTCCCACTATTCTTTATCATAAACAAAAAAATTATTTTACGCATATTAAGAAAGTTGGTTATTTGTATTAAACTTTATTACCTTCATAAGATTTTTCATAAATTATCTTTATAAATATTTAAAAGAAGTAATGCAATTGAAAGGTTATACATAAAATGAGAGATATTTTAGAAAAAAAATCATTAAATGATGTAATAGTAGTTAAATTTACTTATATTTAAGAATAAAAAATGTATAATTTTTTTTCTTACAAAAAATTTTATTACTTTTTTACAATTTCATAGAAAATATAGATTACATTTCCTAAAGTATTTTTAAACACATTCATGATAATATTGTTTTCATTTATTATCATATAAGTATTTATAGATTAAAAATATTAAAGAAAATTGACTTGATTAAATTTAGTTTATATTTTGATTCAAAAAATTTATATTTTTTTCTTATATATAAATCTATGGTGATTATAATATATAAGTTTTTTTGGATAAATAATTAAAATTCATCCTTAACTAAGCCATAAATTCTCAGTGACGTGTCACTAAAAAAAATACGGCAATAACTTGGTAGCTGAAAGCTGTGAATAGGTTTAAAATTCTACCCCATACACTAGGAAAAGACAATGGAACCATTGAATTTTCATAAATGAGTTGTAGGTAATATGAAGGGTATTCTAGTCGATGACTGTGTCAAGTTAGTTTCTCGTCCCATTATTTATGCCGCTGACCTTCTTCTTTCTCCATTATCTTTCTCTCTTTCCTCTTGTGCCTTATAAATCCATCACACTCTTTACCACTTTCTCCAAAAATGGGGCGATCACCATGCTGTGACAAGGTGGGTTTAAAGAAAGGACCCTGGACGCCAGAAGAAGATCAGAAGCTCTTGGCTTATATTGAACAACATGGTCATGGAAGCTGGCGTGCTTTCCCAGCAAACGCTGGTAATCTTGTCTTCATCTTAGAGTAAATTCTCCTTCTACAACACAAAAATAACAAGGAAAATAACTATTTTCTTAAATTAAGATTAGTTAAACTAATTTGTAAAAACTCTTTCTTACTAATTTTTTAAAATGTTATCTTTAACTTATGCATCAATTAGTCTTTATTTATCAAGAAATTTATTTTATTTTTTTTCTTTGTAAATTATTTCTGGAAAAGTTTATCTAAATAAAGTAAAATTTTCGGTGTTGTTGAGTACTATTGTGAAGTAATTAATGAAGATGCTGAATATATACTGTGTTCAGGACTTCAGAGGTGTGGCAAGAGTTGCAGATTGAGATGGACTAATTATCTAAGGCCTGATATTAAGAGGGGAAAGTTCAGTATGCAAGAAGAACAAACCATCATTCAACTCCATGCACTCTTAGGGAACAGGTTTGGTATCTTTAATCATGAAATCTATCTGTATTACTATTATCATATCTGGAAAAATCTAGAAGTTTTGGGATATATGTATAGTTGGTTTTTGGTTAATAGCTAAACAAATTTTAGCACATTAAGAAAAAGAAGAAAAGAGAGTTTCTTACTGATAGTACCAAAATTCTTAAAATTTTTAGGGTAACAGAGGATTCTTTTGTATATTTTATATTTTGGGTAGTAGGTTATAACATTCTTCTAAATCCAAACTTTCCATTTCTTAAAAAAAATATTCTTCATGTACCAAGTCTTCAAGATTTTGAGCTTGGATGTTTAATGGGGTTTCATTTGATTATTAATTTTCATCGTTTTTGAACTCACAATTCTTTCATATATAGTGCTGAAAACTTTCATAGAGAAACAGTGATATATATCTTTCCCTTGCTCCCGTAAAATTAAATAATCTAATTTTTGAAAATTACTACAATGTATGGGATTATTGTTAATTTGACACCTCCATTGTGTTCTTGCAAAAACGCACTTAATTACTAAATGTTTCAGTAATTTAGGGATTTGCTTTTCCAATGTGCAGAAAGTCTTAAATGCGAGGGCATCTCAATTTCTCTAACCACATATGCTATCCCACCATTTCCAACACTCATAACTTTAATTGTGCTCTCTGTCATGTTCATAAATTTACTCCCTGACAACGCAATAGTTTATTCAAGATGGTCCCTTAACCGCAACAAAGGGATCTTCTTCTTCCCCAAGCTAAATCAATGGTCCATCAATGTTATTTCTAACTTCGAAATGTCGTCATGCGCCTTTAAGATCTTACAAGATATACATTATATTCCATTACTTTAAATTTATTCAAAATCATAAAATTTATTATAAAAAAATATTAGCGGCAATTTTACACACACACACTCTTCTATCATTAATTTAAATTTATTAAAAATCATAAAATTTTATAGATCTTATATCTCATAATTTTGTAATTTTAATAAACTTTAAATAATATAAGTGTGTTAGGAAAAATGTTTTTAACAATATTTTTCTATTTCATAATAAGTGTTATATAGGGAAAAAATGTCATTTTAATTTTTTAATATAGTATTAATTATATCTTTTTGTTTTATTCTCTAATAATATTCTTTAAAAAGTTGTAATGTAACATTGTAATTAAAAATATTTAAACAATTTTAGTATAGGTTTTTTTTTATAAAATTATTATTATTATTATTATTATTATTATATATTCTAAAAAAATGATCCCTAGACACTGAATGCTTATATAAACCTTGAAAGAGAAAGAAAAAGAAAAAGAAATGTAGATGTAATAAGTAATATAGTGTGATAAAAGTAGAGAGAGAGGAAATGAGAGGTATGTGACTAGAGATGACAACAAGATAGAACCGTGTGCAAGTTTTAATATTGTTGTCTTGGTTTTTGAGTTCGTATTTTATAGTCATCTTTGTTCTCATATTTGATGAGTATGAAATGTATATCCTATCATTTTCTTCATTGGATATTGAATATTAAAAAACAAGAATTTTAACATAGAGTAACAATTATAAAATTGCAATTAAGTTTCATTTAACATAAGTTTAAAATAGAGTAAGAATTACATAAATTTTAAGTAATTTTTTTTTAAAATTAAATTTTTAAAAATTTAAAGAAATGATGAAATTAAGAACAAGTACGGGATGGATAGTATATACTCATCTGCATTTCCATACTTAATTTAAATAAATTGAATATTACCCATATTTATATCAGTATATGATCAAATCAGACATTTCTCATCAATGTCATAATGGATTCAAATATTACTCATGATATAAATTTATTTATCATTTTATGAGACACATAGAGATACAGGGAAAATAAGATTTATTAATTAAGTATTTGGAATATACACTAGTGTCTATACATCGTTACTAGGGATAGAAAACGAGTTATAAGTCGCTCAAGAAAAAACTTTTGAATTAACTTACATTAGACACAAGTTTGACTAAACAATATGGAAAAAAAAAGACTTTTATTAAAGCTTATTCATTTAAAAATGTTAAGTACTTTGGGTCAATTAAAAAAAACCTAACAGATTGATTCTATTTAAATAAAAAAAAATATTTTTTAGTACAATTATTATATTATGTTTGTCACACTCTATTACGATTATATATTTTTTAATATTAAACATCTTAACATACACAAAGAGACAAACTAATAAGTTTATTAAAAAAAATAAACATACGTCTTATTTAAAGATATTATGGAAAAATATATTTTTCTAAAAAAAATTATCATTAAAAATGTTGGATTAAACCTTAAAAACACATATTTTTATAATCTTGATTTTTATAAAATTGTAACATATTTATTTCCATTCTTGTCATGGTATAAAACTATTACAAGACATTAAATAATAAGTTCACCCTTGGCAAAGGTGAACCTGAGCTTAACAATATTCAATCATGAGTAGTATATGAATGAGAGCTAGGGCTTGAATAATGATTGATTCTTATGAGATGGGTGGGTGTGTTGTAGGTGGTCTGCAATAGCCACACATTTGCCAAAGAGAACAGATAACGAGATCAAGAACTACTGGAACACGCATCTGAAGAAAAGGTTAGACAAAATGGGCATCGACCCAGTCACCCACAAGCCCAAGAACGATGCCCTTCTCTCCACCGAGGCCCATTCCAAGAGTGCCGCCAACCTCAGCCACATGGCTCAGTGGGAGAGTGCTAGGCTCGAAGCCGAAGCAAGGTTGGTCAGAGAATCTAAACTACGCACTTCAGCTTCAACACTACCACTTCCACCCTCACATCATGCTATTGCAACTAGGGTTAGTGACCTCGATGAGTCCTCCACGTCCACGTTATCTGAGAACAATGCAACCACAATTATGAGCAGTGTGGTTGATTTCAATGTGAAGGAAGAAGAAGAGTGGAAAGGCTCAACAAACATGGGAGAATACAAAGATGAAATGGAGAATTCAATGCCTTTCACGTCTAGTTTGCATGACTTGACGATGACAATGACCAGTGCTAGTACTGCACATGCACATGCTCATGTACATGTGGAGGGATTTACTACCCTTTTGCTCAATACTAACAACGCTGACCGGACTGAAAGGGACTCTAATATTACTAATTCTCATCACTGCAATCATGGTGGCGCTGACTTATATGAAGATAATAACAAGCACTACTGGAACAACATCATTAATTTGATGAATTATTCTTCTCCTTCAGATTCACCCATGTTCTGATTCGGTTGCATGGCAAGGTAAATAATCACCCAATCTTTTGGGATAAACTATAAGTTGCTTTTAACTTTCAAAGCAGGTTACCTTCTTATTTTAATTCTTTGACAAATAGTTATGAGAATGAGTTGAATTCAAATGTGGCATTTTAATTTTTAGTGTCATCTCTCTGCTAGATATTATAAATACGCGGGGCTTGTTTACAATACACATAGAGAGAGAGAGAGAGAAATAAATACAAATTTTCAAAGGTACGAAGACCGAATCAAGGGTCCATTGTTGTGTTGGAAGTGTTTGAGTTTGCTGCATCTCCATCAAATTAAACGAAATCAGAAGGCCATTGGTTTTCTTCATCAGAGTGTTGCCATAATTAAGAAGCGAGCTTAGAAAGATAATTAAGTACGTGTCGCTTCCGTGCATCATCAAATGTTCATATCATTAATTAATTTGTTTTGGATTTGTCTTGATTTCTACGTATGTTTCCTGGTTGAGGATATGTTTGTGTAGAGAGACAGATGATAATGGATAGAGTAGTGTGTACTCTATAGTAATTTCCTTTTTGTTTTATACTGTATACAAGCAATATCCAATAATAGAAGCATTTAGTATGGACTTTATTGCTGTTGGTTTTATGTCGCAATCTACTTTTCAAAAAATCATTCAATTCATTGTATATATTTGGCTCATCTCAATTCATTTGCTTGGCTGTAGTCTGTATATATATAAGTTACAAAAGCAGTGTAGAATTTTATTTTATTTTTTTACTAATTAATTTGGATTTGAATTGCTGAAGAAGAAAACCAAATTTAAAAGGGGATCTGTATGGATGTCTGAATCAAACACATCTACATCACCCCATAAGTAGGGACCTTAATTTTGAGTAGTCTTTAACATTTTTTTAAGAAATCACGTGGGATACTTCAAGTGAGTTTTAAAAGTAGGATTTAATATTTGTAGGTTGTAACAGCCAGTCAATTAAGGAGGTTTTGTAATCAAGCCAAAGATGAGTATATATATATTATATTAAGAATAATTTTTTAAAAATTTGTATATTATATTATATAAAAGGTTTAAATAACTCGAAGAATAAATAAATGATTATATCACTAAAATAATTGATCATATCCTTTTGATAATTGATTAAGGTACCAAAACAAATGATTATGACAAGTTATTTCCATAAATAACAAATTTTGAAATTTCCATGCTTTTCTCCTTTTCTACACCATAAATTCTTAGATATGTGTCACTAAAAAAGTACACTGTTATAAAAATATGTCACAATTTTGACATGTCGTCATATGAAAAATCCATTAAATATTTTTAGAGCTAGAGATTTGATATTGTGATCTTTAAAAGGCTAAAAATATAATTTAGACATACAATTTAAACGTAATTATAATGGCATTAATATAGAAGAATTTAATTACAAAATTTTTAAATTATAAGAATTTTTCTAAAGTATTTTTAACATTAGTTACTTGATTAAAAACTTCATAAAACTATAAGAACTTACTCATGAAAGTAAAAATAAAATAAAATAAAATAAAAAAAGAAGAAGAAACATTCAAGAATTATTACATTGTTTATTAAGTACAAGTATTATCACTACAATAAAATGTATTTTTAAAGAAATTAAAAAAATGTTGTTAAATTATGAGTAAATGTTACTAATATATTTTTACAATATTTTATCTAATATAAGATAAAGTCCATGTTATTAAAAAAAATTAATAATATTTTACATATTAATTATAATATTTTTTAAAATGTTACCAAAGCAAAATTTTATAACATATTAATAATGTTGCTAATTTTTTTTCAAAACTAAATCATATATCAAAGTTTATTTATCTTAAGTTTCACTCTATGATTATATTTTTTTTATGTGTCATTTTTTTAGTCGATGTGAGATTTTAATTTTAAAAAATAATTAAAAATAGGAATAATATAATTTTTATATATTATTCTTTTACTCGATATGGTAATTATGAAAGACACTTATAAAGAACGATATTAAGATAAAAAAAATGTTATTATAGTAAAACTTTCTAAAAACATGTTGTAATAGCCTATTAATTTAATCACTATATAATAACATTTTAGTAAATATAAGTAGACAAATATTGCTAAAGATGTTAAATGTAATAGTGTGTGACAAATGAATTCCAAAAGCGTCAAGAATATAATAGAGAAGGGGATGAAGGCTAAAAATTAATCCCAAATTGGTTTATATAAAATCAATGACACTTTCTACTCCACATGCATAATTAAATAAATATAATAATCATGAAAAGGAAATGTGATATTGGAATAGCTTTAAGTAAAGATAAAGAGTATCACATTTGAAATACAAATAATACTACAATAACGCCTAACTATTACAAACTTAAAGAAGATATGTTTTATGGGAAGAAAACTAAAATTCTTAAAACATAAAGCATGAAACATCTCCTGCAACCACATATAAAACAACAACTAGGAAAATAAGGGAATGAGAACATATCTCACTCCGGCTATCAATGTAAAATAAGGTTGGGTAGCCATACATAATATTTTATAAAACCAATAATTAATTTTCTCATCAAACGATGTAATAACTTCAACTCATTTTATATCTCATTCCATCATGGCATCAATCAAAACACAATTTAAACACAAACAAAATATTATGATCATACATAGATTAGACTCTCCTAAACTATATGTATGTGGTGCCAGTGAAAGCATACTCATCCTTAGTCTAAGAGTACATGTCAAGTCAAGTCATTTCAGCACTCTCACTCAAAGAATATACTACTAAGATCTCATTAGGATAGTTGAGTCTCGTAAGATATGCTTCATGCACACAATGGACGAGATTGAAGCTTTCCAAGCCAAACTATCCCCAAGAACTAATCCCAAGCTTTTACAGAGGGGGATCTTTACTAACGATGTATTCCGCATTGTACCCATCACAAAAAAATGCACGTGCTGCATGAGATTCAAGACTCAATGCATTTACCACGCATAATCACTTATCACTTATAATTCATAGCACATCACGTTTTGTCACTAATTAATTAATCACTTTACATAATCACTTAAGGACATAGATTCTCTCGTACATACACACATAAGAACTAAGTTCAAAAACAAGGTCATGCCTGATGAGACACATTCTACACCTGACACATATGAGGCCATGAGCTTTTGAAAGGAATCATGCCCTGCATGATCTCCCCGTGCTCGACGAGATGCATCTAGAGGACCTTTGGAGCCCTCACGCGTAGTGGCAATAATGCTACAAGTATTTCGGGCTTCCTCACCTAATGAGGTAAACAAGTTTTTTTTGCATAATTCGCGATTTTTCAAATATAAGACTCCTACGATTTTAATTCGTTAAAAGAGGTTCCTGTAGTCTAAATAATCCATATTTTAGTTATGCAATTTACAATTATTATGAATTCACTCCTAATCAAGTTTTTAGATACATTCGTTCCCCTAAGAATGCACATGCACTCATAGATTCATGATCACATACAAGTTTTATAATCCCCACATCAATACTCATTTATAACATATTTAAAACATCTATTACACAAATTACACTAGGTTCAAGTTTAATCCCTCACCCACAAATATATGCACATAACTTAAGGATTGAAGGTCAATCTTACTACTTAACAATTACCCTACACTTCAAAGCGATGATCTCACTCTCTCACATGTGAAACAAGCCTAACACCATTAATATATCTAAACAAATACTTGATAATTATTCAATATTATCTTATCAAATCACTCAGAATATTTTTATCCTCTAATTAATTAATTGAAAAATTTATTATTAATCTATTTTAAAAAGTGGAATGTTATAAAATCAAACTAAAAATAAAGTAAAAGAAGATTGCATCATATGATTAATCCTGGTTTGGTATCTAACTAATCACACTTTTTTCACTTACAAATTACAATGCGACAAGATTTTTATACTCTACTTGACAACTTAGTCTCGCCACTCTACTTAGTCACTGGAGAAAATCCACCTTAGATATCTCAGGAAAATTAACAAACACAAACCACGAGAGAACTCCTTGAATTTTCCAAACAAGTCAAAGATATTAACTACTTTAAATAATGAAAATAACACAAATTGAGAAACAATCATATTTCCCTTTAAGCACTAGCTCAATGAAATAATACCAACCCATTTTTTTTCCTGAAGTTTTGTTGCAAAATATTTTCAAAAGATAAGAATAAAATTTTTCTTATCAAGATCTCAATTTTTTTTTTTTAGAAGTTAACTTAACAACATAGATTATTTTTTTCATTTTTAACCTGTACTTAGTTAAGTTCTGGAGTTTTAAATACAAATCATTTTCCAAATTAATTTTTAATTTTCACATGTCAAATCATTTTCCGGATTAATTTTTAACTTTCACATCCTTTCGAGAGTTATACTGAGATAGAATTTGTAGGTCTCCATTCTTTCTTTATGATTTTAACTTTGTTTGCTTTTGGTTTGTCTCTAATAAGCTCAAAAGTCATACTCAACAACATCTATGCATTTTCAGGATAAAGAACCACTTTTGTTCTAAGTTTGATTTAAAACTTTTAAGTTACGATTTAAAATGCAAAAATATTATATTCAAATATTATGACTGATTTTCTATAAACGAATGTTTTTAATGATCTTTGAATTTAGAATTATTGTTAAAATATTTTATTTTTTCAGGATTTGATGATTTAGAACTACAACTATTCACGCCTTCTATGTAGTTGTGTTGTGCACGGTCAGAATTTATGACCAATGTGATAGATGGCATAACCTCACTAGTTAAATACTACTAAAAATACTTGCAGACACGTAAGGGGATACCTGAAAGATAGCAGAAAAACTAATATTAGCCTCGTAGGTGTGCAAATATAACTGTATTACAATGGAATAAACTTAAACAAATCATATTGCCTAAGAATAAGATTTGCGTTTATGTAAAGGGTCCTAGAAGCAATAAGACAAGATGAAGTGTTTATAATGTAATGCAAAAATCAGTTCTGTTTCTTAAACACTTAATCAACACCTCATTTTCTAATTATTTTTTAAATCCATTTTTTAACATAATTTTCACATAGAACACCGAAGAAAAGAAGAAAAAAATAATAATAGTGTTACTTAAGTGTTCTTGTCTTATATAAGATCAAGAAAATAATCTAATACATCAAAATATAAGACAAGAACACTACACCCTTGAGATGTTTGTTTTGTGAAAATTGGGTGTTATATAAAAACACAACCATTTGTTAGATAAGCATCCAATGATACAGTTATCACGGAGACTGTTGAAGTGCAATATAAATAGGAAATTCCTTTCATCTCAAGGCCATACCACAAATTTCAGAGCAGAAATGTATGATGCAGGGGAACCTGTGACAGCAGAACACATTATCATTCCAACTGCCAAAACATAATGTCAAAATTCCCAATATTTATGTATGCACGTTAAGATTAGGCTTCCAATGATAAATAGCAATGGGGCCTCGTAGGAGTGCAAAATTGACATAAATACATCCTATGCAACCCATCTTGAGAATTTTCTTGGCCATCCAACTGAAAAACCCTTAGAGTAAAGGAGGAAGACAAACAAAGCCAATCTTGGAAGAAGAAGGAGAAGAAAAACTATTTTTTTTATTAATTAACCCTTTCCAATTCATGAAAAAATTAAACAAGCAAAAAAAGCACTACAAAACACTGGGTCTAACTTCAATTATCCAATAACTACTTTGAGAATCAAAATCAAAACATGGTACTTATGTATGGGTTATACAGGCAGCCCAAACATGTTCGTCAGATCTGCAAAGCGATGCCCAAAATTATTTTTTGCACGTTGATCGGACAACTGATAATGTTGAGAAATCACAGAGCCTTGTGTAGTGCAAATCAAGGAATCAAATCCCCATATGCATTAGAACAACCCATCACACACTATCACATAAAAATAAGAGTATGCAAAACTATTGAAAAAAAAAAGAAAAAAAAGTAATGACTTAATATAAGGTATAACAAAAGAATAAGGTATATATGGGTGTATGAGGAGAAAAAACAAAAAAAGAATCAAGAATCAGATTTTGCATCTGAAAGTACAACATGGGCAGACATAAAAGCATCCAAATTAATGAGAAAACAGTACCGAATTAAATAATGAAACTGCACAATTTTTATCCCCCGTTAGTGAAAATAGAAAAGAAGCTTTCTTTACCGTAATTCGGAGCAGCTATGAACGTAATGAACAAGTTGTGGTGACAGAACTACGAGAGTTTGGGGAAAAGGATTTGAATTTATAGGAGCGAGGCAATGAAATTAGGGCATCGCATGAACATGTACCCTCTGTAATTGGGTCCGCCAGTAACAGCCCAAATTTATCAATTGGGCCCAAATCAATTAAATCACAATCTGACCCAATTAAATCCTGGGTATTTTTAGCCATCATGTACAAATTACTCCATTGGGTTCAATTGGTACTGAGCCTGGGTAATTTTGGTGCATGAATGTAAATTAGACTGCATGATAAGTTGTTTGCCTCAATTATTGATATATATATTCAGTAATCAGTATTTTATCCCTGTCAAATATATACTTTGAATGCCTCTTATAGCTTCTCGGATATTTCCTTACAAAATTTACACTTAACGTCATAAAGCTTACTTAAGTAGTTACTTATTTTTAGAAGAAAAAAAACACTTACTAAAATAGTTAACTTTGTATACTAGTAAAAAATAGGTACTTCTTGATTATATAATTTTTACTTAAACATAGTACAAAATAAAATATATAAATAATAGACATTAAAGGAGATATATATAATTAGTTAAGCGTAAATTAGACTTAAACAAAAATGGAGACCAAACTTGATTATTGACTAATTATTATTAAAAGAGTAGACACTTATATATATATATATATATATATAATCTTAACAATAACAACAAAACAAATATTTACTTATTTTTATTTAAAAAGACGACTTATTAAATCTAAAAGATTTTTTGAAATGTCTAAATTTTAACTTTTTTTCTAACTAAATAGACTTTAATAAAACGATGAACTTAGTGTATTTCTTAAAATAAACTTGGTTTAGCTTAAGTTTAATAGGCTTGATTGTTGCTTTATAAGTTTTTGTTAGGTAATCTGATTTATTTTTGTCCTTAATCAAAATAATAATTTTTTAAAAATTTAATATAACAATAATCAGTATATATTATATTTGTATGCATTAAAAACTTCCTCAATTTGAATCAAATAAAAAATTTAATTTTAACTAAAGACTAATTTACATTTACATAATACATAGATATAATATTTATTAATGTGTATCTTATATGAAACTTAACGTGTTAATCAATATTAATTAATATTATATCTTTTATTCATATAAATTACAATGACAATAACAAATTCAAATATAAAATTTTATCCATACTACTTCAATATATAAGGATTTATGAATTAAATATTAAAATTTAGTTATAGTCAAAGCCTTTAAGATATTAGTTAAGGAATTAATATATAGTTTTTTTTAAAGAAAAAAATTACAATGAAATTATAGAAAAATAATATACATATTGAGTAGTTAGTAGATTAGAAACAATAATTTTGATTAGTTAACTAGTGGCGGTTAGAGTTTTGCTTAAATATTTAATGAGTTTGAGATGATTTATTTTGACGGAAATTAAAGTGGGTCAGCAACGATGGGCTTGACCAAAGTGTTAGGTTAAATACGATGTGAAAAAAGAAAGAAAACAAGTCCACTTTGTTTTACTTGCAATTTTTATTATTATTATTATTTTTTTGATCTAATAGTAGTTGTCACTTTACATGTTTGCATATGAGAAAAATGAAGTTAAACAGCTCAGAATATGCAACAACTAGCTACGGTGACTCGCTTCTACAAAAACGTCACTCCCTCGTACTGTCTTGACGACGTAATGTTTTCATTAATCCATCCTTTTATTTATTTATTATTATATAAACCAAATGGTTCAAATCACATCACTACAATTTCTTAAAATCACAAAAAAATAAGTATTAAAAAAATGCGATTTTTGTAATTTTTATTGAAAACAAAAATAATAGAATAAATAATAGTACATTTTTTTCCCTTTTATTGTTTAGATGAAGACAGAAATAATTTTTTTTATTATTATCAATTTTCCTTTTCCTTGTCTAGTTAGGAATAAAAGCTAGAAGAAATAAAATATATGTTTATATTTAATGATTTTAAAATTATTTTAATAAATAAGTTTCTCCAAAAACTAAACCTAACTTATCCATAAATTAAAATTAAAACTTAAAAGAAGTTAATTAATTTTAATTTATGAATAAACAAATTTTATTTATTTCTCTTATAAAAACCTAAAAATACGGGTTTCTCAATTATGATTGAAAGTAGGTAGTGGAAGAGAATTTGCACATTCTTCATTGTTTATTGCCTTTGGAGCAGAAAAAAAACATGGGTAGGGTAAAATGTGGTAGTTGAATTTTATAGATGGTCCCCCAATGTTTTATTGCTTTATGCTGAATGCTGAGTGTGACAGGAAAACTCATTGGTCCTTTGAGAGTTAGCCGCAGCCACATACATGCATTATGCATATCCTCCTTTTTCTTGCTTGTCTTGCTGCTACCACTGTTGTGGTGCATGCTGTGCCCATACATCGCCATGGTGGTCCTCGTCATCAATCATCAATCATCAATCATCATTAGTGTTCCTTTTCGGAGAGGTCAATAACATTCATCACAATTTCTTCACTCTCTTGCTTACTGGTAATCTCCCACCAATGCACTTTAATAATCACAATCTATGCTCGCAGTATTAACCCCTCAAGTTATAGGGTTTGCCTCATGTGAACCCAATCATTAGAGTAAGATAAGTAATATACTGTGTTTGTGTTTTTCATTTGCAGCATGCAAGCGTCGGTTGGTTTTAATATATTAAGACTCATGTTTTTTGGTTTCAGTGTTTTGGAATGCACGTTATAAAAACACACAAATAGTTGTTGCATGATTTTTATATAGTATTTCAATTTTCTTGTGTGTTTTTTTTTTAATTCAGGCCTTATAATAAAATTAGGTTAAACTACTATTTTATTTTTTATTATAAGGTCTAAATTATACTTTTTTAATTTTCTTTGTAATATCAAATAATAAATTTTGGTTTATAAGTTTTAATTTCGTAATTTTAATCCATCAATTTTATAAATTTCACAATTTCAATCATCTCATTCAATATTCATTCGTTAACTATTAAAATTGTAATCCTAGTTATAATCTAATATTAAGTAGATGACACAAAAATTAATATCCAATGATAATTAGGTTAAATATCTCTTTTGACATAAATTTTTTATCTCAATAAAGTTGTAAAATGAGACTAAAATGAAAAATAAAAAATATAATTTAGTTTAAATATTATCAAATGTTAGCTATCATGTTATCTACTTAATGTTAGGTTAATGTTATAATTTTAATGATTGACAAATGAATCAACAAAGAGATTAGAATTGCATATTTTATAAAATTGGAAAAGTAAAATTGGGGACCAAAAATTGTGAATTTGGTATAGAAGACTAAAAGTGTAATTTATCTTAATTAAAATATTTAATTTAGTCCTTTGATTCTTTATAATTGTACAAAGTAGGCTAAAAGACTGAATGCCCCTACTGAACAAAGTCAAACATCCTTCCTAAAGGTCAAATACACCTATCAAATATGGGCAAGTGTCTTCCCCAAAGTAAAATACCCACAAGTATGACACTCTCTACCTCACATACTATGATAACATATAATTCAATAGTAATTTCGAAATAAATTCACTGGATAAAGTAAATTCTCATGGGTAGAATTATCAATTTACGAACAAAGACAAAATAATGAACAAAACCATGACTCAAAAGAGTAATTACAATGAACTAATATTAAATCCTAACATTGATAATAAATTCTTAACTAATATCATGATATCACATCCTATAAAAGCACATCCAATACAAGGTTCATACGTCGTGTCCAGCCCTATCATCCTCATGATGAAACTCATCTACAACCATACACCAAAAACCAACAGAAGAAAAATGGAGTAAGAAACATTTTACTTTGACTATCAGTGTAAATTATGGCCAGATCGCCACACACAACAATCAACACATATGCATTCACATTTATAGATCAATAAATAACAATTACACTTTATATAGTTCAACATAAGTAATATTTACAATTTACATCTATTCAATATATCATTGTTATGTTCATGATAATGCAATTGACATGGACATCCTAAATGATATAAATGTGGCACTAGTAAAACAATTTAAACTATTGCCCGAAGGCTCAATTAGAGTAGCCTATGAAAATTTGTTAGGTTAAGACATCACAACACTTTACACTAGGAGGATATAAATTAGGACGGTGTTGCGCAAGTTACATCCCATGCACACAATGGATGAAATTGAGACTCCCAAATCTAACTATATCTTTAAGGTCATGAATCCCAAGCTTTTACAAAGGAGGACCTTCCTTGACAACATATTCTACATCGTACCCATAACAAAAATAAATTATGCACATGATGCATGCCATACCATACTTTATGCATAATCACATTAAACACAATTATCATCACATGCTCATTAACATTCAATATCATATATTCATTTTAAACATCACAACAATCTCAACTGACTAGGCAATCTCACTTTGACTTTAATGCAACTATAAGCTCAACTTAGGATTTTCACCATATGACCATCACAAGGTCCACACACTCAACACATCACATATTTCACAATATCATCAAGGGTCACTTATACTAATACATGCATACAACCAATAATTCAATAACATCCTTAATAAAGCAATTTAGTTTGTTCAATGTTATTGTCCCCATCAGAATGTCTCAATATACATAGAATTAATAATAACACAAGAATAGGGTGACGCTTAGTGTGGGGTACCTTGCATCGACACAGTCCAAACAAAAAGCACACACTATTGTCTAGTAGGAGCTCACCCAATGTGATTGCTTTTCGTGCTCGATGAATTAGCAATAAGGAGTCCCCTATAGCTCTCACGTCGACATAAACATCACAGAGAGAAACCCATGCTCTCTACCACGCTCACGCCCAATGGCCACTCATGGCGCCCTGCACTACATCTGTACAGATGCATATGCAGAAAATGCAAAATTCACACATAACCATCAAACATGCATTTTAACGTAGTTCAATCGATAACAACATACCATAAGCATAATCAAAAGGTAATACGACATTGATTTACATTCTCACATTACTTACTTCAAACTAAG